TGCTTAGCTTTTTGAGTTCTTTGTATACCCTAGAGATTAGTGGATAAAGATTTGCTCCCAGGATGTAGGCTCTCTGTTCACTTCATAGATTGTTTCTTTTGCTGAGAAGACACTTTTTAGTTTGATTCCATCCCATTTATTGATTCTTGGTTTTAATTCTTACACTATAGAAGTCTTATTAAGGAAGTTGGGGCCTAATTCCACATGATGAAGATGAGGGCCTACTTTATCTTCTATTAGATACAGAGTCTCTGGTTTAATTCCTAGGTGCTTGATCCATTTTGGGTAAAGTTTTGTGCATGAGATAGGGGTTTAATTTCATTCTGTTGTATATGGATTTCCAGTTTTCCCAGCGCCATTTGTTGAAGAGGCTATCTTTTCTCCAGTGCATTTTCTTGGCACCTTTCTCTAACATAAGATAATTGTAATTTTGTGGGTTAGTCTCTGTGTCCTCTATTCTGTACCATTGGTCTACCAGCCTGTTTGGTACCAATACCATGCTCTTTTTGTACTATTACTCTGTAGTATAGTTTACGGTCTGCTTCACTCTTCCTGCTAAGGATGCTTTACCTATTCTGGGTCTCTTAATTTTACAGATGAATTTCATGATTCCTTTTTCTATTTATATGAGAAATGCCATTGGGATTTTGGTTGGAATTGCATTAAATCTGTACAGTACTTTTGATAGTATGGTCATTTGATAATATTAATTCTGCTTATCCAAGAGCAAGGTAGATCTTTTCATGTTCTAAGGTCTTCTTTGATTTCTCTCTTTATTATTCTGTAGTTTTCATTGTATAGATCTTTCACCTTTTTCTTTATATTGATTCCCAAGTATCTTAACATTTCTGGGAAATTTCTCTGTACTTCATTATCATTTAATGCTTTCCTACAGTAGGTGCACATTGAGATCCACAGATTTGATTCTTGGCCAACTTATGGTAGCCAACTCATGGTAGCCAACTCTTTGGTCATTCTCGCTAGAGGAATGCTCCACACAGTGATATGCATGAAGATCTTATCCAATATTTTTCATGGAGTTTTGAAGGGGCCAGTGACACCTGGAGACATCCAAAGATGAGCTACTTAACCACGACTGCAGGAAGCACTTGGCTCTGTGGTATAGCAGCAGTTGACATAAAAGGCAGAGCTCTAGAAGACATCAGCTAGTCAGAAACAGCAGCTAGCAGAGAGAAGCGAGATATCCAGCATATGTGTGTAATCCATGAGGTCAACTCCAACTTTCAAAGCTGCAGGAGAGAATAGAAGACTTGGAGTTCCTGGAGTGGGTGGAATCCCTGCAGCCAGCCACAGTGACCTGGTGGGCAGGATGATCTGGACCTTTGGGCTGCATGCTAGGATTTGGATCAATCAGTCCTTGGTGGAGTGTGTCTGTTTGTCCTCTATTGTCAAAGGGCTAAAAATATCCAGGAACATGCTGGTCCCAGGGTCTGGCCAAACTAGAGACTGGCCAGATGAACTGGCCCTACTGTGAGAACTACATGGCCACATGCATCCCTGGTAATCAGGCTGTGGTCCTGATGGCCTGAGAGAATGAGCCTATGAGTGATGACATGCTGCAGGGGCCAGGGCTTGTCATGTTGCATGATTTAGAGGAGATCCAGGAGAGTGGGACCAGCTACCAGGTAGGGAAAAACATTGGAAAAGCCCCATCCCTCAGACAGCTTGGCCTTAAGTTCCCCCATTATTCTTAAAGTCTTGGCTGAGCCTGGGCCACTCTTCTCCCTGCTGTTGTAGCACTAAAGGGCCCCCAAACCCTTCACTCAGCTTTTCAAGGAAGAAACCCAGATTCTTGGTTTTTTCAGTATTTCTTCCCCTAGAATGTCTGTATATTCTCATCTGTGTGGGACAGTTACCACTTTTATGTTTTCCTGCAAAGGCTCCCTGATTCCAGGTGTTTTCACAGGACACTAATAGATTTTTTCCCCCTAGAAGATCAGCATAAAATGAGGACTCTCTTATCTTCCCTCTCCTCCAAAATCATGGAACCAGAGCAGGAGCTCTACCCTCTTGTTTCCCAGTCCACCCTTTCCTCATGTCCTTATTCTTTTAACCACTTCAGTCTCACTCCCATTGAGTGTCGCTGCACAAAAAACCCACCTGTGCTCATGCCACAGGTTTTCACCTGGATGGTCAGTCTCACAGAATTTTGGTCAATCTCACAGAATTTGTTAAGGTATCTAAGTTTAAGTATTATCCTTGCAGGGTTGGAGGGATTACAATAATTGAAAGAGCTCCTGTGCTGTGGTCATCCCTTGGGCTACTGAATTAATATTAGTAATTATTAAGACTAATATAAGTAGTTTATAATTAATTAGAAATCAATATTACTAAATTAATTAATAATGTAAATATTATGTTTGATATTTACAGAAATGTTGGCTCAGACAAGTCAGAAAATCTTGTTGATGTCATTGTTGAAGGAGACATTTATTATATTCTGTTTGTTTGATGAATATTGCTCTTTTTCACCCCACTGTCAGTAGTGGAGTTCAACATTGGCAGGGCGTGTTTATTCACAAATTATGATATAAATTAACATTCTATTATGTAAATGAGTCCAATGAATTCACTCATATTTGTGAGATGAATTTGGTTACTTCCAAGGTGATACTAGCATCCATTCTTTCTTTTCTTTGTACCTGTGTTAATATCCTTACTATGTGTTTTCCTTCTTTCCATTTCTCTGCAAATACCTTTAATCTGATGCCATTCATTGAAATGAAGAACAGGAAGCAACTAGATTTGGGTAGAAATCTTCCCAGTGAAGGAAGAAATAATATAAGACATGCAAAGCTCACTGCCAGTCCTTCATATGACAGACCTCAGTACTTCCCAACCCCTCCAAGTGACACCCTGTTGGTCTCCCAGGATCATGGATAAGTAAGAGTCTCTCCAAACACTAGAATATCCTCTGAAGACATGTTATGAAGAAAGTTTAAAATTGTTTTTCATAAGTGACACCTGGGGAGAAAGTTTCCAGCAGTGTCCTCAGCTCCCTCAGCCTGCACAGCCATTGCTGCTGCTGGCACAGTGGTAATTGCAGGTCCCAGGGGAGGTGAGGTCACAGAGCCACAGACCCATATCTCAGGAGCTGGCCGCCTCCCTGCAGCACACGTCTTGGTCAGAGAGGCCTCTGCACTGAGGTCACCATCCTGGCAGAGAGGAAGAGCCTGGAGAGTGACTCAGGGTGAGTGTGAGAGCAGCATCTGTGAGAAGAGACCCATCAAGAGTCTGGGTAAGTGATCACAGCTGATCACAGTCAATTGAACCCTGCAGAAGCCAGAGCCACACAAGTATTAAAACGGTTGATGAAGAATGACTCTAGGTAGCAAAGATAAATGGGTCCTAGCCTAAATGCCAAACCACCATGGATCCTAATTTAACTAAGTATGATTCTTACTGACAGGGATTGCTGTAGTTTATTGCAAATGAAAATTCAATGTGATTTTCAAGGTGCACAACGAGGTTGTTTTAAAGTCACCCAACTTCTCAGTTTCCCTTACAGGAAGTCTACACTAAATCTTCATGATTTCTAGGTCCAGACTCATAGTATCTCCCTGCCTGTGTGTGGAGTAGGAGGAGCTCACAGGAATCTTCTTAAGCCTGTGCAGAGTGAGAGAGCTGATGGTGACTGTTCAGGCAGAACATTTTCTCTGACTCTCAGCGTGGTGCAGCCAACAGAGAGAGTAATTGTAGCAATCCTGTAAGCCTAAGAATTCAAGGATAATGAGGCCATTTCTCTATATTGTGAAAAGGAATATGTATGGATATAGTGGATAAGATTATTACAGAATTCTATTACCACCTGTAAGAGCTTTATACTTTTAACATGTCAGATAACTTCTGATTGTAGTGAATTCACCATGTGGCATAGAAATGTGATAGTGGAGCAGGGTATGAATGCAGGGGACATAGGAAAGCTCTTCACCATCTGTTCAGTGACATGTGAACTTAAATATTTCTACCTAAAATTTTTGTTAAATGTGTGCATTCCAATGAATACTGAAATTCCAGTATTTCAAGTTTTAAATACTCACACATACCAATTTTCATGGAGGGCTCCTCTTGTAACATCTTTCACTAATATTTTTATTTGAAATATTTTTTCTTATGTATTAATTCACTGAATTCTGTATCTTCTGAAAAAGTGAATATTTTGTTTCTACACTATAATCTTTAATCACGTGTTATTTCTTAGTATCCCAAGACTTAGAATCTGAACTGGGAATGTGGCAAAATTCCTGAGATAGGGCCCCTGAGCTTGTGTTCCTAACAATCAACCATATGAGCCATGGGGTAGCTGTCCTGATGTGGAGTCAGTCCTGCCTCCCTGCATGGGACTAACCATGGCACGGTTGCCTGCAGTGGTGTAGTTCCCTCAATGCATCTGCTGTCATTAATGTCAATATCTAAATGTTCCTTCATAAGTGACTTTGCACATAGAATTAATATTTCTGGTAAATGGAAACATTTTACAATGAAAAGTTTAAAAACACCACTAGTTTTGAAGACAATAGGAATATAGACAAATGGAAGAAAATATGAGCTGGATTGATAGAAGAACCTGCTCATGACCTTTAGGGAAGCTTGATGGTTCTTGCTGGGCTCTCTGTAAACAGTCAGCCAGGTTCAAGACCCCTCTGTGCACATGATCAGAGTGTGATTCTGGACAGAGACTTAACATCTCTGTGCACAAGCTCTCCTGGTCATCAGGAAACTCATCTCAGCATCTGTCTCATGTCATGAAGATGAATCACCATGTTATGGCTTCACAACAGGGATTTATACACACTTCCTGCCTTGACTAGTCATACGAACCTCATTACAACCTGCTAATGAAAATAAAATATTAGGTGAGTTTTCACAGCGTTAACTCTGAAGTGTGGGCAATACTGGATTTTGGTTGAAAGGACATGTGTAGCCCTGGCCTGTTCTTCTGCAGGACCCTCTGGATGGGACAGCAAGGAACTGGCAGGATGGCAGCCAGTGATGTGGCTTTAGGAATTATTTTCTTGTCACAGACTGTGGTTGGAGCTCTGGGCAATTCCTCTCTTCTCCTCCATTACCTGGTCCATTACCTCATGGGGTTCAAGGTAAGACACACAGACTTGATTCTTCAGCACTTGATTGTGGCCAACTTATTAGCTCTCCTGTGTAGAGGAGTTCCCCAGACAGTGGCAGCTTTTGGAGTGAAAGGTTTCCTCAGTGATGTTGGATGCCAGCTGCTTTTCTATCTTCACAGGGTGGGCAGGGGTGTGTCCATTGGCAGCACCTGCCTCCTGAGTGTCTTCCAGGCCATCAAAATTAGTCCTGAGGACTCCAGCTGTTCAGAGCTTAAAGTGAAAGCTCCTAAGTACATTGGCTTCTCCATATACCTGAGCTGGATTTTGTATCTGCTTATAAATATTATTATTATTTTATCTATGACTGGAAAGAAGAGCAACAATAATGCCACAAACCTGAGAGATCTTGGATACTGTATTTCTGTTGATTCTGAAATAATCTTACAATCTCTGTATGTGACATTGCTAACATTCCCTGATGCCCTGTGTGTGGGGCTCATGCTCTGGGCCAGCAGCTCCATGGTGCTCATCCTGCACAGGCACAAGCAGAGAATGCAGCATGTTCACAAGACCAGCTCCTTCAGGTCCTCCCCTGAGTCCAGAGCCACTAAAACCATCCTCCTACTGGTGAGCACCTTTGTATTTTTTTACACACTTTCCTGCCTCTTTCAGATTTGTGTGACTGTTATTTATAATCCCCACTGGCTCTTGGTAAAGGTTGGTGCAATGGTTGCTGTGTGTTTCCCAGCTCTCTGCCCCTTTCTGCTCATAAGAAGAGACTCCAGTGCATCCAGCCACAATCTCTATTGGACAAGGAATAGGAAAAACCTTGATGTCAGAAGGAACGTGTAAATTGTAGGCATTTGTACAATTGTTACATGTTTCTCCATTGTCACCCCCAAATTGAAAGAAGAGTGATACAGTCACATCTCATGAGAAAGAGAATCAACACACACATATATTCTTTACTATAGTGTGAGCATGTGTGTGTGTATGTGTAACTGAGTGTGTGAACATGCATATAACTAAGATTTGGCTTCTTCACCATTAAGCAATATTTCTGAAAAATTAGATATAAAATACAAATTTCACATTGAATATACCAGTTACAGTAAGAGCAAATTTTTCAGCATAAAATCCGCTTTCATTATTTTCCTGCTATCATGGAATGTAGTTTTTCTTTGTCTACTCTTTTGGTTTTTGTCTCAGCTATGTCTTTTGAAGGAAATATCAAAGTGAACTCTCTCAAACGTTTTTCTTTTGCAATGAAATGAGACATGTTTCATGTAATCTTGGAAATGATGGGAAACAAAGTCTACTGATGCTCTTTTTATTAAACAGTGTATATCTAATGTGTTGGTTTCTGGACTGATATTTTCATAATGCAATATGTCTTTTTTCACAAGCTATTTAGATTTAATCTTTATTTACTGTCTATCTTGATGATTCACAACACTGGGTAATAATAAATTTTATTTTATAACTTATTATTGAATTATCAATATGTATCTTTGAGATATTTGTGTGGGAGTGTTGACATGCATTTCTAAAGACTTTTTCTGGACTGAACACACCTGTGCAAGAAGCTGCTGCATGGTAAAACAATATTCTACTCTGCATAAGTCTTCTTTTCTCTAAGTGTCCACAAGAGTGAGCAGTATAACAGCATAGATCACTTTCCCCTTTTTTTGCACTTTAAATAAATGAAATCATTCGACATCACATGTTTTATATTGGACTTTGAAAATTCCATATGCTTCAAATTTGTATTTCCCATGTTGTTGATGATAGAATCTCACTGAAGGTGTTTCAAACAATTCTAGCACCTGTTCTCTGGTTTGGATGTGAATTATGCTTCCACCTCCAAGTTCCATGAGTTAGAAGTTTTGTCCCAGTGTGATGTGTTGGGTGGTGCAACCTTTGAGAAGTGGATGCAGCACAAGATGGTTGGTCATGGGAAGGTCACCTTGGAAAAGATTAATGATGAATTATATTGTTTCTTGTCACAAGCCATCACGAGCCATCATGAGCTGTGTGTGGACTACGTTGCTCATTGCAGCCTCCTGAGGGGATAAGTCAGGCACTGGGAACTCCCTGGAGTACCCCTCACAGGGATAGACTGCCTGATGCAGGTGAACTTCCCCCTCAAGCTCTCGCTAAGATCCCCCACAGCACCTGAGATGGGTGTGACCTGCCAATGTCATTCAACCTGCTGACTGAAGACATCAGAAAAGAAGAGTCAGCCCTTGAAACCTTACCCCTGCCTTTGAAGGTACCCCCTTAAATAAACCACTGAAGCCATTTTCTCTTTGTCCAGTTCAAGAACCACATGGGCTTGATCTACCAGGGGCTTTGTTTTTGTAAATAAATTTTCTGAGCATTTATGTTTTGTTATTTGCTAATTATTTGAGTTATTAAGATTCAGGGTGGCGATTTAGGGTGGCTTGGTTTCCTCTGGGCAGAAGATCCCCCAGTGAGAATTTTGCTGTCTTCCCCCTGAAAAGTTGAGAACATTGGTTGTCCTACAATGAGTGCTGGTGTCCCCAGTGTCTCCTGCTCCCCTTCCTGCCCTGTGGTCTCTTCTGCACATTCTCCCCCCTTTGTGGTTCCAACTATTGTGAGGTCCTCACCAGAGCTGAACAGATGCTGGCACCATGCTCTTGAATTTCCAGAACTGTAGATCAATAAATTTCCTTTCTTTATAAATTATCTGTGTAGGCCTTTGGATATGCAGCAGAAACTGATCAATAAAATGTAGTAGTGTCTTTTAGTTTGGAGCATCATGATCAGAACTGACATGTGGAATGTGCAACATGTTTTCATGGTACTTTCATGTGTTTCTTCACAACATGTATATATGTGAACACATATTTATATATAAGTATCAATAAATCACACACATTTTTCTGATCATAGGTTCACATCTACTTGCCTTTAGCATACAATACCAGAGTTTACCAAATATTTCTAAGAATTTCAACCCTTTAGATGCTCCTAGTTTTATTTTCATATTTTTTTAAAGGAAGAAAACGCTTTTATTAGTTTGAACATGAAAACAACCAAAAGTCTCTTTTTAAAATATGTATTTTTAGCTTCATGTGGACACAATGTCTTCACCTCTATTTTTGTGTGGTGCTGAAGATTGAACCCAGTGCCTCATGCATGCTAGACAAACACTATACCTCTGCATCCAAACCCAGGCCCAAGCTAAAATCTTATTAGAATTAAACCTGGATAAAGAATGCTGCTATGAAATTTACATCTCTCACATTCAATTGAGAGGAAGATATTACACGTGAGGACTCTTCTTGGTGTAATGAACTAATTTCTATAGAGTTTTCAAAATAGTAAATAGCAATTAGCATATTTCTAAACTGTGCCACAACATAGTTAGAAACTATGCTGGTTTTAGCAAAAGGATAAAGTCTTCTTTGTTAAACATCAAGAACTCCATTTCTAATGAGACTCCTTCCTCAGTGCAACATTTTCATTGAGGAGGCCAGTGTTGGCTGTGGGCACCACATAATCAGCACATTTCTCCTGAAGTAACACATGCTCATTGATCAAGTGAGATTTCTTCCAAGTTCTTAACTCTTTCTGAGATGAAACAAATACACCGGTATTCTCTCCCCAGGGAGACAAATGTGAATTATGGTTGTTATAAACTTTATAACTCAAAATCAAATGTAGGCATTGAATTATTATTAGGAACATCTCTGAAGCCATTCCAAGATTAAAATCAATAGGCTTCTACATAACTCTCAAAAGTAGCTTTCCATTTTCTTAAATAACCTGATAAAGAAAACATTTTATAAGTATTTTAGCAATTCTTCTCTCTATATACCACACTTAGCCCTCCATAAGGATTAGAACTCTGTTCTTAAAAAAATTTCTACATATCAAGCAACTTTGAAAGTTTATTTTAGTAGAACTGAAGATTTGCTTTGCTTATATGTCCATGAAGATTAACTTGAGCTTGTACATACATGCATCATTCATACATGGCATACATACATATGTATAAGTGAGCTAGTTACCCCTAGAATAAAATTAGACTCAAGGGGACAAGTGTGAAGTGCAGTTTGGTCTTCCTAGAACCCTCCTCTGTGTCGAGGAGGCAGGTAGAGTGTGCTACAGAAACCATGAGGCTATGGAAAGTCCTCATCTGTTAACTCCCATCACTGGTCTCCCCAACACAGCTGCACCCACATCTGCTTCCCCCGCAGTGCTGACCTCTACCATCTGTCAGAAATGAGATGTGCTTGTTGGCACAGCCAAGGCTTTTTGCAATGCTCTGGATAATGCCTCCTCTGCACTGTGTGGTTCAAATCTTTGTGTTCAGTCAAGCGACCATCCAGAATTTAAAAAGTACCTCCTTTTGCAGCTTGTGTGCCTTGCATACTCCTTGAAGGACACATGGACACCTTCATTCCTGCTTCTCTCCACTTCTTGAACACTGGGACTCCATCTTCATACCTAACTCTAAAGGGCACCCCCACATGTGGCCCTGTGGTTATTTTATCATTACAACCATTTGGTTCAGTGATATATGCAGGCACACATTGTCTACCATGCCACGGTGTTAGGTATTTTTTGTTACCTACTCCAGTCTCTGGTGCAGTAGCGTTTGTAGCAGCCCCATCCAAGTGGGAAAATTTTAAGCCTGTTTCCTGAAAATATTAACATCCTGCTGGTAACTTCTTCTAACTTGTCTGCAGACATCTTTGACTTCTCCTTTGTTTAAGAAAATAAAGTGTCTGGAAGGCCCTGGGAATCCCTGCTGTGTGGAGGGTGGAGCATGGTGCTGGCTGTGCTCCAGAACCAAGTTGAGCTTCATGAGCTCTGCAACAAGCCTTTTGAATCTCATTTTCAGCTTGTATAATACTATGTGTGGCTGGGGAAGACTCTGTTAATTTCTGTGTTTTGTTTTTGGACTATCAGACCTTTCTGTGCTTTACCTAGATTCCTTTTTCTCCAGGCTCTGGAATGCCAACCTCTGGAAGCTTATCAGAAGTGTGTTGATTGTAGGGTTTTGCACAACTCTCAGCTACTTAATTGATCATTTCACACAGCTTCCCAGGGAGAACATGGTTATTATAGATGGTTGTATGTGGGATTGGCCTGGGAATAGTGGAGGTGAGTAGGGCTATTTGAACTCATTCTGGTGCACAGAATCCTTAATGTCACTTTGATTTTTGCTTTCTTCTTTCTTTCTTTCTTTCTTTCTTTCTTTGTGCTCTACTGGAGATTGAGCATAAGTCCTAGTGCATGTCGTGACCCTTCGCCGGCAAGGGAAAACACGACACAGGATTCTTCTTTCAGCAGTTTATTCAGGCCTTGATTCAAGTATCATCTTCTAGGGACCCCCCCCCGCCCCGCCGAGCGCCCAAGCATAGCCTAATAAAGCCTCCCGCGTCCCAATCCTAAGCCGCCACGTGGATCTCTCTCATAGGGTGGTAAGGGATTGCGTGTCAACTTTCCATAAAAGGAGTTGTTTACCACAGGCCACAGTGGAAGCCGGCGCCATCTTCTAATGGCGGCCACGATCTATAACAATGGCTTACCACAAGTGCATGCCAAACAAGTTTTTTTATTGGTTGCTCAAAACATTACAATGATCTTACATATCATATTTCATACATTTGATTTAAGTGGGGTATGAATTCTTATTTTTACCACGTGTACAGATTGCAGGATCACATTGGTTATACAGCCTCGTTTACACATACTGCCATACTAGTGTCTGTTGTATTTTGCTGCCTTTCCTATCCCCTTCCTATCCCCCTCCCCTCCCCTCCCCTCCCATTTTCTCTCTCTACCCCATCTACTATAATTCATTTCTCTCTTTTTGT